TCCACTACATTTATTCAAAGAAACGCGAAACAGTTTTTTAACAAAATAATGTAAATGGAAGTGCAGTGATAAATTAAAATTATAGCTAAACAAAATAAAATTACACTAGATGAAGAGATTAAAAAATAGATTGAGTTAAACAATTGATATTTTCAAAAGTTATCGTGTTTACAAGCCTTGGGGACATGATAAATCCACTCCATAAGCCACTAAAACCCCTTTTTTTATTTAAAAATAGCAATTAATCGATTTAAGAAAAATATTAATAAGTTCAACAATCATTTATCTTTCTAAGAATGTGCTTTTTATATCATTTATATGTATAATATGATTGCTAGATACGATTTTATTCGATAAAACGTTGTAATCTTAATTTTGAGGCGATAGTAGAACATACCTTGCGCATTAGCTTAAGGCATGCAAAAGAAAAGAGAAAGATTTAAGAATTTTGGCATTCTAGCAGCAAGCTTTGTTGTAACTTCAAAATATAAAATGTATTAACAAAAATGGTCATGAATGTACAGTGCCCAGTATTAAGAACTGAATGAGTACCATAAAAAGATTTATGAAATTGGGGCAGTTTTTGTCCAAGAAAAACATAAAAATTATGAGACACCACTATATAAATTCCGATGCAATCGAAAACTTTTTCGGTCAAATAAGATCATACAACTTTAGGGACAATAACCCGGCTTGCCCCAATTTCATAAATGCATTTAAATATTCATTAATTACAGGATTAATTTTGTTTTACTGCTCTCTTTTAGTTGTAAAGATGAGCCTGTAATATAGAAAATACTAAGGACATGAAAGTGAAGTGACTAACGAAAGTGGTGAAACTGGTGAATCTTACTATGTTAATACTTATCCATTAATTCTAGTAGCAAGGCGCGAGCGTCTAAAAATACAGTCCCGTGCTTACACTGCAGGGTGGGCCATAAGAAAACTTGTTTCAAAAATCAAATGCCACTTATGCAGAAAGGACCTCACCACAAAAGAAAATACCGAGGTTCATAAGTGGATAACACAGAGAGTAAAAATATAGCAAGAAAATATTGACCTATTCAGTAGCATAGGTCAACCTTTTTCTTTATGATGATGTTTTTAAAGAGACTAATAATTATCTAGAGGAACACCCACATTTTAAAAACATTGATAATAAAATAAAGAATGCAATATTAAATAAATATCCTTTCGAGCATATTACATGCCGAAAGCATTGGACTGAAGTAATAGGCGCCTTTTTATCGATACCAATAAAACTAGGTATGAATAAATATTTTTTTTACTCATGTTTTACAAAATAAATATCTTCATAACCTGGTGCACTATTATCAATAAAATTTTAAAAGGTGTAGATATTGTTCACTGAGAAAGAAGGCAGCTGCCAGAAATACAAATTAAAACTCTCTTAAAAATATAAGGAAAACCTGAAAAATAAAGTGAATAAAAATATTTCAACATTGTTTCATTTGCATTTACCTAATTTTATTTTCAATATATTAAAATAAATTTTGCAAGTAATTAATAAAATAAATTTATATGGGACGTAATTTACCTCGTGTAGCTGCTTCAAAAAAAAAATGTCACATATATCGTTTTGCTACAACCAATCATGATGCAGAAGCTAAGTCGAGTAAGTTTAGTTCATGAGATGTCGGTCTAATTCGGTAAAATCTACTAGTTAGCCTGTGTTTGTGGCTATTTCATTTAGTATTTTTTAATATGTTTATTTATGTTTTTTATTGGAACTGTTATTATTTCCACTTTATTCATTTATTACTAGCCAATACTATTTAAAAATCTATTTGGGAGCAATATCAAAATAATATTACAAACCTGAAAGTTAACTCTGGATGCGAGGATGGATAAAAGAGTAGAAATGCCATCAACAGACAAGAAAGCAAAGCGATACTCATCAATCCGAAGCATCATTTGAAGGCAGCGTGCCACCGACTGAATGTAGTCGTTGTTCTGTATAAGAAAAAATAATTTATTAGACAAAATTGTAGAACTTTAAAATAAATAAAAATCGCAAGACCCTTAATTAATTTTTGTACACTTGTATGTGTGAATTATTATATTTATATTTGTAATATGAAAATACAAGTAATCAGCTTGAAAATAGTGAAATAACAATATTTAAGACATTATTCTTACAATAAAATACAACATTAATTAGTTTATGTAACATTATACATATAAAACGTCAGTTACTTTTACATAATATTGAAACAAATCATTGAGATCAATCTTATTATTTTATTAAATGTAGCAATTACTAGACTTCTTGAATTTTGTACAAGATAAAGATCTTTACATATTATTAAATATAAGACTTCAAAAATCGTATACCTCATGTTGTAAGTAACCAAGCTTAATGGTGAAAACAGTAATTAAAAAACCCGAATGAGTTAAAAAGTTTACTGAAAACGTTTTCCCTTCTTTTTTGGATTTTCAGATGCAATATATAAATATTATATAGCCTTTATCACTTCTACAATGAAGACGAATCTAATGACACTTCATATTATGTTAAAATCCATCAAGCCGTTAAGGCTACAGAGCATGCCAAAGAAATGGACATACATACATACATACTCTAGAAAAACATTACCCATCTGGAGCTGTCAACAACCACATTCGAAACAACCTATGGGGCAGGCCTATGTTCTGCAGTGGACTTGTGATAGACAGTAATGAATCAATTAATGAATGTACCAGGTAAAATGTCTTAATCATTATCAGAAACAAGATGCAAGTGGTTACCAGTGAAATTGAATCAGTTATTGAAGACATTAAGACAATTTAAAAAGCAATAAAGTAATTTGCATCTTAAATAAATTTACTAAAAGCATATTATAATATAACTTATACTTTACATAAAAGCAATAAGCAATATACAGATTTTGGTCATTAATGGAAATTTTAATATAAGCACGCAAAATACAAATACCGTTATTTAAAACATGTTATTTCTTAAAAGATGTAAATACAATTATCATTAGTAAATTATACCATTATTATGTTAATCACTGAATTTATTGTTAAATTTACACTATAAACATACAGGTCTTGTGTTGACATCTATATATGGAGTACCTTATGGAGACCTGGTGGTAAATCCTCATGCGATTTCACATCATCGAAAGAGCTGTTAAGTCTCGAATATTTCTCTTGGGTTCCTTCAGGATCCTTATCCTTGTGGTGTTTATGCTTGTCCACGAAATGCTGTTTTTCGTGCGCCAACATAACCTGCTCGGCATGCTCTAACTCGGCAGACATTTTCTCCGCCTTACCCAGAAAACAAACCTCTCAGTGATAAAATGCAGTCATGTCCACAACGCCCCAACGATGCAAGATGAATGTTGATGTTGATGTTGATGTTGACAGTGTGTTAGCTCCGAGTACTTTAGAAACTAATGTTTCTGTTTTAAAGTGTGTTTCCAGGGCAGGCGGGAAAACGGAAAATGACACTGTAACATCTAGGGAAAACGATACATATCGCTCTCCATACAGTTCTTTGTCGCTTATGCTTCGCGCCATAGTATAGGATGGGTTGAGAGGTGCGGTCATCAACAATGGTAAAAAGGGTACGCCTACAGTACATTTAAAAGTCATTGTCCGTTTTACTCACTGCCGAAGGAACGCAATATAGTAGAAGATTTCTGATCTATTCCAAGTTGAAATGTTAATTCCCAATTAATTTATTTTTACCATTCATTTTTTAACACTCTTATGTTCCATTTAATGAAAATTATAAGAAATTTGCAATTATATAATTTATGCATAATATGATTGTTATTACTTGGCATAACTCCATAGAAATTAATTATAATATTAGCACTTGTACATGTTTCGCTATAATTCTTTAATTATTTAATACATAGGGCATCATCAGTGTTCTCAGCTGCAAGAACTTCTTTCTTCCTTGTCTGTATATGACACTGGTTAGTTTATTAAATAAATGCAGAAATTGTCAGTGAAACAATCATTAACTATAAAATATCACATTAAAAGTTCAATAGAAGTGATCAAGTATGTAATCCATAAATTATTATTACTACAATGTACAGAATAACACAATCAAAAATTGGAATAGCTTCCTAAATAATTTACATAAAATTTCGTAGTAAAAAATAATAAAACATTTTATTTACAAAACCAAAAACATCATTATCACATATTTAAAAACCAAATAATATTAAATTTATACATAAGGAAGGAAATACTATAAAATGGAAAGAAAGTTCCAATGAACACAGCCATCTAGATGAATTTAGGAAAATAGCATGATAAAATTTTAAATCTTGGTTGAAATTTAGAATCATTTGACAAGAGGAGGGGGCAGTGGTTGAGGGGAGGGGAAGGGGGGGAGCTTCCCCTACTCCCGACACCACTCCCATTAAAAGGTAATACACCGTTCTTGAGAAATATCAAAAAGAAAATCCCATAGATCTATCCTGAAAGTAACATTTATCATCTCTAGCAGGAGTGTGCCCTATCAGGGAAAGCCCCTCTACCTTTCCCTCGTGCGGAAAAGTATAGTTTATGACTAATGTTTTTTTTTGTAAAATCATAACCTCACGTTTTTACACAGGAATATTGACCCAAACTTACTTCTATAACGGCTTCGGCGCTGCGGGAAGTGCAGCCCCTTCGCCCTTGCGTAGCGAATCACAGGCACCAATGCCTGCGATTTGCTACGGCGGGCGGGGGCTGCTCTCCCTCCACGCCTACGGCTTTACAAAAACACTCTAGAAGTAGGGCAGACAAGACTACGTGGAGTCGGGGCGTGCTGGTTTAATTTTAGTACAAATTCGATCAGATCAGATATCTTATCTATAAAGTCAGGTTGCCTTCGCTCCCGCCACAACCTTCTAACCAACTGAAATTATTTCTGGGTGTTCAAGTATTTCTGGGCAGTTTTAAACAATTCAGAAATAAAATAGTATATTATAATCATTTCTTTATTGTCTGTAAACATAATTTTTTTTATTAATTCCTCAAAAGGATCTCTTTTATGCCTTATAATTTCTCTTTTCCATAAATATTCATATATCAAGTTGGTAAAATTTTCTCTATTATTATAGTTGTCTTTAGCGAAATATCTCTTGATAGAGAGTATAGATAGTGGAATAATGTGACTCTAGTCTTACGTCCTTGTCGCACTTACACAAATTTTTGTATGCTATCCAGCTTTCACAGTAATTTTTCCATGTTTTACATATTTTAGGTTATAATAGTTTTCATTTATGTTTTCGATAACAGTGCATTACCTTTTAATGTGAGTGGTATTATTATAATCGTAGACCAAATCTCTATCAAATAAAATACCTTACTCCGCCAAATTCGTGCCAAACGATTCTAAATCCAACCCTAAATCTCTTTTATTAAAATGTGATGACAAATAAATACAATGACAAAAATAAATAATTATTAATATAAGAAGTACTTAACCACTTAACCGTCCGCCCCGCGCGAGTGATTCTCGCCTGACCTGTCAGCGCATTAAATGTCACTACATACACACTTTTTACGACCGCGCGAGACTGTCTTAACAAAAACGATTACTATTGAAAAACTACTATAGCTACATTCAAATAAAAATTATTCTCAAAAGACTCAAAGAATTCAAAATTTAATTTTGTTAAAAGAAAATTAGTCAAATTAAAAATAAAGCTTAAAATGGGAATATCAAAAAAAATCGTATTTATTTTTTATTTCGAGTTTTAAAAGTAAAGTGTAATACTTACTGGAGACAATTAATTTATATTAAAATAGTACATGATATTCCCTTTAAAATGACACCAATATCAATAATATCTTATATACTCAATATACATAAATATATAATGTTTACCCAATATAAATTTGAATAAATAAGTAAATAAATGAAAAAAATAGGTTTTAATAATTTCTAGACACATCTCAACAGATGTTTCGTTTATAAATTGCTATCAACGTGTTAATAGTGAATCATTATTTTATATTTTGCATTTATTTAACACAAAAAACTGATTAGAATACATTTTAAACAACATATAATCAATAAACGATGATCGCGTATAGTGATTAAAATTTAAAGCTAAATTATTATATGTAAATGTTTTGGAATTGTAGTAATGATATATATTTACTAAAGAAAATATCTTCACAATTAGTTTAATGTACAATAACATTAAAAATAACATATAAAAACAGAAAAGTTATCACATTTTTGATCGAATTTCTTATACGTTAACATTCCAAACAAAAAAGACGAAATTTAATTTTAACTTTTTTTTCTAAATATTTTGTTACTATTATACAGATAAAATTCACTTTCATAGACGACAAATTTCATATAGCACCATCTATAATTTTTTACTGTCTATATCTATTATAACAGCTATCTTTTGTGCTGTACGCGTTTAAACCGAAAGATGTCGTTTGGTGCCTAGACAGGTGAGGCAATAATGGTTTTTGGGGTCTGTAGTCACCGTGGACGGTTGAGTGGTTAAGCAAGTATTAAACTATGAATGATCAAATACTTCTCCCTTTATGAGTTACAATGGTAAAATTTATTTTATTAAAGATTAGTAAAATTCCATTGAATACTATTATAATCATTCTATTAGGTTTTATTTTTAAGAAAACTGTAAGGTGATAATAATAAATCATATATTATAATTGTGTTAGAAGATGGCAATTAAGCATTAGTATTATTTACTCTAAGAAGTTAACACTTAAAAAAACATTAAATGTAAATAGAATCATGCAAAAATCCAAATTCATGCAAAATAAAAGCTTAAGTATGAGTTTAGATTATTAGAGGCTTGACTTACATTCATTTTAAGTTGATCCTTGAGCCAGGACAGATAGAAGTGCAGGTCACTCTTGTCCATGAGTTGTGAATGCCAACATGCAAGCTTGGCAATAATGCGTGCTGTCATGTGTTGGACAAACTCATCTTGACGGTTCAACAAATTCAAGAAAGGTTGCCAGATATTTCCATGCCTGGATTCACGAAAGATCTTCACTCTGGACTTGTCTTCCTAAAATAAGGTATAGCTTTACACAATATATAAATATGACTGACATTGAAGCTGTAAGTGTAGGGCAGCCCCGACTAGATGGAGTCACCACCTGGTAAGATATGGTGGAAATCTATGGATGCAGGTGGCTTGGGGCTTTGAGGCATTTATTAGGGGAAGCCTATGTCCAGCAGTAGACAGTGAGATTGAGGGAATTTACAATATCTACAATTACATTTAAGGGAATAGATACAAGTCTCCCATTGAAGAGGGATTATGGAACAGTTTTACAGTCTTTCTAAAAAACGTTATCTCCACATTAGTAATTTCTTCTGTATCACATACTAAAATTGCATGTGGACAAACATCCAGACAACAGTAGAACCAGAATGACAGACATAGCCCAACAGATAAGTCAGCTGAAGTGGCAATGAGCTGGCCATATAGCTGAAAGAACTGACAACCGAGGGAGAAAAAAGGTTCTCGAGTGGCAGCCTCGTACCGGCAGGCGAAATGTAGGGCATCCCCTCACTAGATGAATAATTTGGAATGATGGATGAAACTATAGGAATAATTTCGGTCGTCAGACCACCCCACATGTCGGTCACCTCGTGAGCCAGGTCCAGATATTTTGTTTTCTTATCTGCTTCGGCTTTCACGAGGTTCTCGTCTTATGGAATGGTAATGTCGATCAAAAATATCCTTGACTGTGCCCGGTCCGTCATCACAATATCAGGCTTATTCGCAAGAATAGTCCTGTCTGTGATGTTGGCCCGGTCCCAGTAGAGACAGGCGCGCGAGCTCGGCTTCCGGCAAGTACTTAATAATAAGGCAGTTTCCGAACCACGAGAACGTATTTCAGAGCTCCTGGTGTGACAACTTACTAAGACATGCAGGAAGTCGATGGATGCAGGTGGTTCAGGACCATGCTTTGTGGCATTCCTTGGTGGAGGTCTATGTTCAGCAGTGGACATGTGAAGGGCTGTAATGATGATGATGAAACATCCAGAATCAGAAAATTTGTTTGTAGTCCGCACTAATATTTGTTGTGTTTTTATCCAGTGGATTGTCCAGTCATGACAAAACATTAGACATACTTAAGTCATTTTTAAGATATGAAATAAAAGAAATAATTTTTAAGATTACAGCTCAGTCATTTTTGAATACTTGAGCATGATTGTATGTCACCCTTCATTACCCATTACTGCTTCTTTAGCTTGCTTAACTCGCTGTGGACATGAAACCTAACAATTCTTTCTTTACTTGGTGTCCTAGCAAAATGTTCAAGAATGAATGTAAAAATTGAGCGAAATGTTAAACATAAAGGAAAATAAGATACAAAAATAAATTTATAAGTTGAAACACAATACATACTTTAATTGTAACATATATATTATATAACTACTTCATTATTAATAATTTTATAGCAAAGTATAAAATTGAGTATATTTAAATTTTATAAAACCTCAAACAACTTGATCTGTGCTTGCTCAAACTAGCAAGATTATAGAAGAAAATCATAATTTTGTTCTTAATTTTCTCATAAACTATGTGTTTTTGAGCTGTAATGTTTTATAATATACATATTCAAACATACATAAACATTCAAGCCTGTCACCCAGAGGGGTAAGCAGAGACTACGGACTTCCATTTGTCACGATCCTGACACACCTCTCTTGCATCCTTTACATCCATATAACTATGCATACATGTAAAATATGCAAGTTAAAAATGTAGATCTTTCAAAGTCATTTGAAAGTGCCAACTTTGGGTAGTTAATCTAAAGGTGAGCATAGGTCTTTAATGTTAACAGTACAGCATATTCTTTTTCAATTATGAGTGTGTTAAAAATTCAAACCAGACTAAAGAAATCTATTCATTACAAAAGTTTAAACTTGCACATTACTTTTTTTTGTTAAATTACAGTTGAATTAAAATGTTAATAAATAGTTAAATTTCATTTTTTTAATACTTACAGACAGAATATCATCAATAAGAACAAGAATATACTGGATAGTATGGTCCTTAGATATATGTGTAAGGAGGTTGAGAAACACTTCCGCACAAGCTTCTGGGTTTTTATCCGGCAAATCTTTCTGACCACGCTGATCTAAATTCACAATATAGTCATGATCACGTTGGGTGATCATTTGAGACCTGTTACAGTGATGGCAAAATATTAACATTAGAAACTAAAATGCAATGAAGAATATGTCAGGATAATAGCAATATAAATTATAAATCAATGAAGAATCAATACTTACTGCAAATAGGACTGCCAGTTAATCTGAGTTTGACGTATTTCACTCGCTCTTATTTGTAATACACTTGTAGCGGCAATCATATCTGTAAGACAAAAAGGAGAGGAATAAGAATGGTTTTAATGGCAATTTGTTGTATATTAGTATTTTCATAATTTACAAGATACATGTAAATACTTACCAATTTTGTCGTCGCCAAGTGAAGGGATAAGTTTGCTAACGTTTTCCTCGTGAATATTAGCCATTTTGGCCACAATATTTCTCGAAATAAAAGCTTTATAGCAATAAAAACTTTTAGTTACAAACAATTATTTGGAAAGGAGAAAAAGTAGGCAGGCTCAGCTGAGAAGTCTTGTGACTACGGTAAGTGAAGTTGGCAACTTACTTTAAAATGATAAATTGTCTTACCTTCTCTAACGAAGACTTTTTGCGCTGGAAAAAAAGAGACAGATATTTAATAAAATACGATTGTCGATACTGCTTCACTAATACAAGATTGCAACATAAGATACAAACAATAAACGTCAATAAAGCTGCATTCAAGTTCAATAGCCTCCTAATATTAAATTAAAGAAATTAAGTAATAAAATCGAGGTAATCACATTAAATGTTTATTATAATCATAGGCTTAGGATATACTGGCGTAATTATATTCTATCTTCTAAATAGATAAAATAATTTAATTAAGAGACTGATTTTGGAATTCTTGAAATAGAATTTTTGAGTTATTCTTTTTTTGTCAACCCACAACACTACTGATGTGACGAGTTGGATTTTTTTTGACTCGAGTTGCTCGAGTTCATATGGCTACTGACTCGAATCGTAACTCGAGTTGACTCGAATCGATGTCTGCTGTAGGGAAAGAGAGGCGACTCGGCCGACTCGGGGACCACGAGTCAGCTCGAGCTCGAGACTCACGAGCGGATCGCTAACGGTCAATCAACTAATAAAATTAAACAACAAAATGTCAATGGTTTAGTTTTTAAATAATTGCTTAATTTATATTATAGCAAGTTTTAGTTATAAATAGTTATAAATAGTAGTAGTTATAAATAAAATAAACGAAATAAATATAAAAGAAAAAAAATGTCAATCAAAATAAACATTCAACGCAGTTTTTCATTCGCGCAATTCCGTTTCCGTTCCGATCCTGGCCGAGCGAGCCCGACTCAACCCGAGTTCTATAATCTATTCGAGTCGATACGAGTACGATGCAACACCTTACGAACGGCGCGCGCGCGTGTGTATCGTAACATAATAAATATTTATTCACTCAACTCGAGTTGATGCGAGTTGCAACGCCTAACGAACCGCGCGCGCGAGCCGCGTGTGTAACTCGGAACAACTCGCGTGTGTAACTCGGAACACCGCGTATAACTATAACGTCCGGTTTGCGTTCGGACGACCGAGTTGATTCGAGTTGCTTAAAACTGAACTCGAGTAGACTCGTTTAAGGTTTGATTCGAGTTACTCGAGTCAAATAACTCGAGTCGCACACCGCTACACAACACTATTGCCGTGGAGATAAAATTTTCCCCTCGGGAGGATTTGTCTGATAAAGTTTTATTTGTAAGATATTTTCTGTCCACAATTTTTATTTTTTATTTTTACAATAATATATTTTAAGTTAGCCCTATTCCTGAACAAAATAGTTCGCATTGAAAACGACCTCATATTATAATTACAATAATATGGCGTCGTTTACAATGTATCTTTAAAATAAATATATTAATAGAATTATATTAGTCGAAGCTGGAGGTGGGCAAAGTGTATCATTTTTGGGATTGGAACATTTGCATCTTGATCACTGAAATGTTCCGAAACACTGATATGTTTCATTTGGCTCATTTGTATCATCGACTCAAAAGATATAAAAGAAAGAATGTTCCGAATACATTAAGTTGCGTCGCGGGCATTTATTACTGACTGATCCGTGAAATGTTATGTGGCAACAATGCTGAATAATATAAGTGCTTAGATTATTTATTGTGTACCGTAATAAGATTGTATATAAAATCGATTCTCCTTCATACTTTAACAAAAATGTCACTATGTCATTTCATTATTTACAAAAATGTCCATTTACACAAAACAGCAATGTCTATGTACACAGAATTTACTCGTAAAGTATCATAACTCTAAACTTTATGATGAAAAGGAAGAAAGTAAAGTCACAATAATCACTACGCAAAGAAATCCTAAACATAACTCAGTATGTTTTCGTAAACAGGCGCTAATGAATATAAACAATTTGACAAGTGCCGCATCAACGAAAAATGACAACTTGTTAATACAAACGTTACATACAAAAAACGACCGTATAGTATTTGACACATAAGCGCCTTAGTGGTAATTTTTACGTGCATGAATAACGTCAGCGAAAATCCGTAGTTGAGCGATACACTTCTTATTTGTTATCTCTATCTGACTTGTGTGAATTATAATTATTTCGCCCGCTCACTCGCCACTCGTGAGCCAATAGTTAAGTTAATCATTGTCTCAGTGTCTCTCTCTCGCTCGTGACTCCGTCGCCTCGCAAGCGACGCGTCGCGCGAAATGAGCAAAGAGCAAAGTAATGTTTCACTGTTCCAGATACAAATGATACATTTGAAACGTTGTTACTGAACCAATCTTTTGTGTCACTTCAGTGATTAGTATCAGTGAGTCGTTTCCGTAAAGAGATACACACGCCTAGTCGAAGCGTCAGTAGCCTAATGGGAGGGCGCGAACCGCGAACTCGAAACCTTTGTTTTGCCGACGATATACTCATTACGGCTGAATCGCTAGAGAACCTCAGCATTATGATCAATGACCTCAATATTGTCTCCCAACGGATACGTCTTAAAATGAACATGGTCAAGACATAGGTTATGAACGTAACGTCCATGACAAAGCTATACCGCTAGTAGTTGTGTGAACTACACTGGAAGTTGTCAATGAATATTTTACCCTTTTTTACATGGCGAAATGCAACGCATTATGTCCCACTGACACCGATGACTAAGCCACAATTACTAAGCTCCCACGCCACGAAACGACAGGAACTCGTTCGGGGGGGGGGGGGGGGGATATGTTTACCTAGGACAATTTGTCCAACCAGGGTACTCACCACGAACCCCTTCAGCCAGTAGTGATGCAGACGTTTGAGTCCCGGAACTATCCAGTTCGGGGTCCTACGGACCGCCACTGTTACGTCAACCGGTGTTATGATAACGGGGTCAATAGCGAGCAGAGCAGAAATAGCGGCGGTGTTTCCCTGATTCGGTGCTGGGCCCGTTTCACGTACCATCAGTTGCTTTTGATATATAGAGCTTCTTCTGGTCACTCTGGAAGAGACGATTCTGATTGAACCGTGTCGACATCTCGGTATATCGCCGGAACCGTTTTCCCCAAGCAGATATTCTCTGCTTTAGGTCGTCTATGTGTTCCGTGGTTTTGCGTTATATTTGACTGAGAGAAGCTGACATTAGTTGCAGCAAACGCCATCCTGACGGTGGGAAGTTTGGCGCCAATAATATGGCAATCGGCTAGTGTGGCGCCAAAAAGAGTCCGTCTCGCAAAGGTCTCGGCTGGCTTCCAAATAAGTCACCAGCTTAGAGCCCTCACGATAGCCCGATCCCGCTTGCTAAGGGTTATGCGGGATAGTCGCAGTTGATTTTCTAGAGGCCTACTGCGCATTTCCCTAATCGCCCTCTTCCAATGTGCTCTTCATTTGCTTTGGGCGATTATTCCATCATTGTGTAAATTAACTACTACTGGAAGATTCACGGCGGCATCCACGTGTGCAAGTTGCTCTACAACTAGTTACGCCGCATTCCCAGCCATAGCATTTTCATCCAAGGAGGGAAAGGCTTTACGTCGTAGTCGCTAGAGTTCCGCGTCACCAAATATGTTGGAACCCAAGATGTACCAAATTAGGTCTGCCAGGTTTTGCTCCGTTACAAGAACAGATGGCAAAGAAGATCAGCAAAAAAGCGATTCATCAGAGCCCGATACTTTAACGTTCCAGTTTCTTTCCCTAAGTTTCCGTCCAACGCATGTGACATACTCTATTTCTATTTTTATACGATAAGATATTATGTGTAATTAATTTAGACAAGCTCAACGGCCTCAGTAGTATTCGAACGAGTTAGTGTTTGAACATCCACAAGACAAAAATCATGTTTAACGTCCATGTTACACGTATGCCATTAGTTATTGTGAGCACTACGCTCTAAATTGTTAACGAGTGTGTGCATCTGGGACGAAATGTCTGATTAGCTACGTCCAACGACCAAGAGGTCAAAGAGCAATGGCAGAAAAATAGTTGACAAAAATTATAGCGTCTAGAAATAAGTTATATATAAAATGAGTTTTATTATTTTTCTATGATTTTTCAAATAAAAATGTATTTTAATTAAAACCACGGAAAAAAACAAACATTTTTGGGAATATCAAATGACTGAAATCATTTTACTCTATTCAAATGTTGCCATTTAGTATATTCCTACTATTTTCGTGTACACTTTGTAACACTACCAACACAACACACAAAATATTTTTATATTAAGTTATTATTAGTAATAACTGTACTATCAGTAATAACAAAAATAAAAGTAATATGGCTGAGAATAAGTCTCTTACAAAGAATTTCCTACAATAATACATTATCTCAATCATAGTACTATGTAACAATTCCATTTAATGTTATGCCAACACTAGCTAAAATAAAATTTCACTGTTTTTTTTTACTGGCTTTACGGCTCTGGGTTCTAGCCCTTCTAAGAATGTCATTATGGTACAAAAGCCCTGGAGCCATGCCTGAAATATACATTTATAGTATGCAAATATATAATAGAGATACAATAATGTAAAAACTCTCAATTATGTATTATGTATTAAGCTAACATCAAATAACCACAGGAAGCATGACTTTTTCCAAGTGACATAGGACTTAACCTAGAAAGGTTGAAATGTAAATATCTTTTTTTTTGACGCCTTCTCAGTACAAAATGCTTTGACAGAGTTATTAAGGGACTGACGCTTAACATTTTAAGATATTTTTGGTATATAGACGCTACCATTTCTTCTCAACTAATTTTATGTATGAAAGTCTGCCATTGCTCTTTGTGGCATGACAAATTTGCGTGTCCTGCGTATAGTGAAAGATGTGATAAGTGCCAAATGCTAAATCACTTAAAAATACTGTAACGTCTGTTTGAGGTGCAGGATTATACCACAGATTAGGTACATAGTAAAAGTATTAAGAGCGCTACTAGTAAATGTTTTACAGATTTGCAAATTGGTAACGGTAAAATTCATTTTAAAATGGACACTTGAGCTAACGTTAATGTCTTACTGTCCTGTTTTTATCACTAACG